AAGGTACCAGCTCCTCTTTGTACATCTGGTAGAATTCAGCTGTGAACTGCCTGGACCTGGACGTTTTTTGGTTGGTGGGCTATTAATTGCTGCCTCAACTTCAGCCCTTGTTATTCAATACAAAGAGAGGGAATCCTTCCCAAATCATTTCATGAGACGAACATCATCCTGATATCAAAACCTGTTAGAGACTCAACAAAAAAAGCAAACTTCAGGCCAATATCCATGATGAACATGGATGCAAAAATCTTCAATGAAATACTGGCAAACCGAACGCAACAGCACATCAAAAAGCTTATCCACCACGATAAAGTAGGCTTCATTCCAGGGATGCAAGGCTGGTTCAACATACGCAAGTCTATAAACATAATCCACCACATACACAGAACCAAAGACAAAAACCACATGATTATCTCAATGGATGCAGGGAAGGCCTTCAACAAAATTCGCCAGCCATTTATGCTAAAAACTCTCAATAAACTAGATATCAAAGGAACATATCTCAAAACAATAAAAGCCATTTACGACAAACCTCCAGTCAATATCATACTGAATGGGCAAAAACTGGGAGCATTCACTTTGAAATCTGGCATTACACAAGGATGCCCTCTGTCACCACTCCTATTCTATATAGTATTGGAAGTTCTAGCCAGAGCAATTAGGCAAGCAAAAAAATAAATAAATAAATAAAGTGTATTCAATTTGGAAAACAGGAAGTCAAACTGTCTCTATTTGCAGATGACATGATTATATATTTAGAAGACCCTATCTTCTCAGCCCAAAATCTCCTTAAACTGATAAGCAACTTCAGCAAAGTCTCAGGATACAAAATCAGTGTGCAGAAATCACAAGCATTTCTATACACCAATAACAGACTAACAGAGAGCCAAATCATGAGCAAACTCACAATTGCTACAAAGAGAATAAAATACCTGGGAATACAACTAACAAAGGATGTAAAGGACCTCTTCAAGGAGAACTACAAACTGCTGCTCAAGGAAATAAGACAGAACACAAACAGACAGAGAAACATTCCATGCTCATGGTTATGAAGAATCAATATCATGAAAATGGCCATACTGCCCAAAGGAATTTATAGACTCAATGCTATCCCCATCAAGCTACCAATGACCTTCCTCACAGAACTGGAAAAAACTACCTTAAACTTCATATGGAACCAAAAGAGAGCCTGCATAGCCAAGGCAATCCTAAGCAAAAAGAACAAAGCTGGAGGCATCATGCTACCTGATTTCAAATTATACTACAAAGCCACAGTAATCAAACAGCATGGTACTGGTACCAAAACAGACATACAGACTAATGGAACAGAACAGAGGCCTTGGAGGCAATGCCACACATCTACAACAATCTGATCTTTGACAAACCTGACAAAAACAAGCAATGGGGAAAGAATTCTCTGTTTAATAAATGATGTTGGGAAAAGTGGCTAGCAGTGTGCAGAAAGCAGAAAGTGGACCCCTTCCTGACACCTTACACTAAAATTAACTTCAGATGGATTAAAGACTTAAACATAAGACCTAACACCATAAAAACCCTAGAAGAAAACCTAGGCAAAATCATTCAGGACATAGGCATAGGCAAGGACTTCATGACTAAAACACCAAAAGCATTGACAACAAAAGCCAAAATAGACAAATGGGACCTATTTAAACTCCAGAGCTTCTGTACAGCAAAAGAAACAATCATTAGAGTGAACCAGCAACCAACAGAATGGGAAAATTTTTTGCAATCTACCCATCTGACAAAGAGCTAATATCCAGAATCTACAAAGAACTAAAACAGATTTACAAGAAAAAAACAAACAAACGACCCCATCCAAAAGTGGGTGAAGGATATGAACAGGCACTTTTCAAAAGAAGACATATATGAGTCCAACAAACATATGAAAAAATGCTCATCATCACTATTAGAGAAATGCAAGTCAAAACCACATTGAGATACCACCTCATGCCAGTTGGAATGGTGATCATTAAAAAATCTGGAGACAACAGATGCTGGAGAGGATGTGGAGAAATAGGAACACTTTTACAGTGTCGGTGGGAGTATAAATTAGTTCAACCATTGTGGAAGACAGTGTGGTGATTCCTCAAGGACTTAGAAATAGAAATTCCATTTGACCCAGCAATCCCATTACTGGGTATACACCCAAAGGATTATAAATCATTCTATTAAAAAGACACATGCACACGTATGTTCATTGCGGCACTGTTCACAACAGCAAAGACCTGGAACCAACCCAAATGCCCATCAAGGATAGACTGGACAAGGAAAATGTGGCACATATGCACCATGGAATACTATACAGCCATAAAAAACTATGAGTTTGTGTCTTTTGTAGGGACATGGATGAATCTGGAAACCATCATTCTCAGCAAACTGACACAAGAACAGAAAATCAAACATTGCATATTCTCACTCATAGACAGGTGTTGAAAAATGAGAACACATGGACACCAGGAGGGGAGCATAACACACTGAGGTCTGTTTGGGGAGGCCAAGGGAGGGATAGTGGGGGTGTGGAGAGGTCGGGGAGAGATAACATGGGGAGAAATGCCAGATGTAGGTGACAGAGTGATGGAGACAGCAAACCACATTGCCATGTGTATACCTATGCAACAATCCTGCATGATCTGCACATATACCCCAGAACCTAAAATGCAAGGAAAATAAAAATAAATAAAAAAAGAAGGGATTGGCCCCGCTCCAATCTTCCCTTAGGATAACCTGCTGCTGGGAGCAGAGCGGCTTGCCAGGCTCCAGCTGCGATGCCTGTGGAATCCCTCTAAGCTACACTCTCCCAGGAGGTCAATGGCTGCACACAGCAGGGGTGTTAGGACTGTGGCTGCCTGTGGCAGGGGCATTAGGACTGGCTCTTCTTGCCTAGAGTGGGACTCCTCTTGTGGGCGACCATTGCCTGGGGCTCCCCACTGACCTGGCTGAAACTTTCTGGGAACTGTGTTGTGGACCAAGGCTCTTCCCACATGGACTTCCTCCAATAAGTCTGCTGAACTTGTAATCCCATCATGGCATCTACATCTTGCAGGACCTCAAGTGACACAGTGGCCATGCCTTTTCGCCTTCCCATTGACTTCCCAGAAACAGAGCTCCAACCCTCGAGTTGGCAGCCTTCCCAAAGTGAGGATCACGGTGGTGATTTCTCATCATATCCAAAACGTCTAAAGAGGGGTTTGTGTGCCTTAGGACTAGGGAGATAACAGCCCTGACTCTCGTAGGGCAAATGTTTATCATTGTGCTGACAGACACCGGATCACTATCCTTTTGCACCACACCTCCTATGGGAGCAGACTGTGTCTAACTTGCCTCTCTCTCCAGCACATGGTGAAACATCAGGTCCACAGCAACTGAACTGAATCAGTGTAGGGAGTGGAAGGCAAGAGCTGGTACTGGACTTCACAACACTCACAATTAGCCGTCATCGCCTATCCAACCAGCATCTCATTCCAGGGAGCTGGGTGGCACAAGTGGCAAGTACCTGACAGCAGGACCGTGGCTGCCACAAGCCAAGGGAGAGGCTGCCTCTGGAGACGTGGAGACCAGCTTGTGTTCTCAGCTGGACCTAGTTAGGCAGCTGGGGAGAGCACGGAGACCTCCTACTGAGGCTGTGGAACAGTCATAATAACAAGCCTTGGGGCCCATTTCTTTTTTTTTTGCTTTTTGAGACAAAGTCTCACTCTGTTGCCAGGCTGGAGTGCGGTGGTGCAATCCTGGCTCACTGCAACCTCCGCCTTCCGGGTTCAAGCGATTATCCTGCCTCAGCCTCCTAAGTAGCTGGGATTACAGGTGTGCACCATCACGCCCAGCTCATTTTTGTATTTTTAGTAGAGACAGGATTTCACCATGTTGGCCAGGCTGGTCTCGAACTCTTGACCTCAGATGATCCACCCACTTCGGCCTCCCAAAGTGCTGGGATTACAGGTGTGAGCCACCGTGCCTGGCCCTTGGGGCCCGTTTCTAATCACAGGATCTCTCCTGAAGCCTCCGCAGCAAGTGCTTCCTCCAGCCCCCCACTTCCCAGCCCCTGGTCTAGGCATGGAAGCTGCTGTAGATGCCAGTGGGTTGAAGTCGGTCAAGGAGGCTTCCTGAAGGCTAATGTTTAGCCAGGATTTGAATGCTGTGGACATAGATACACAGAGAGATGAGAAGATGTAGAAGAATGTAGAAATGCTACTTTTTTGGAACAGAGCTGCTCTTGTGAGGTAATCATGGACAGCGGTTAAAGGAATGTGGGTAGCTCCACAGAGTGGGGCCCACCAAGGAAACCCCAGCAGGTACTGGCATAGTCCATTCACAAGTTCACATTTGAGCCGACCGATTTTAGGGAGCTTGTGGGTTCCAGGGCCAGAAATTGTGAGAAAACTGGAGTTTCAGCCCCATGGTTTCAGCCTCCACGTGTAGGCTGGCGCAGGTGAACTAAAGAAGCAGAAAGCTTTCTTTGGGAATTCAAGGGCAGGCGAGCCTACCTGGGAGTGAGGATGGGCATAAGCAAATGCATGGAACGAACTCCCTGCCCCAAGGGACTAGAAAGGATAACCACCCTGGGGAGGCTGCCGTGTTCACACGGAAGCCTTAGAAGGTCTTCAGCCGTTTTCTCATTTAACACTGGGGTGAACACGGCAAAGTAACTTTAACAGGAAATGCCCATGACCTGAAGGCAGGGTGGGCAGCTAGAATTTTCCCACGTCACACAGAAACCGCTCTCCAACCAGGTAAAAATGCCCAACACTCACCTCGCAGAAAGCACCAGACACTGTCGTTTTACTCTGTTATATTTATTTTTTTCTTCTTAAAAATGTACAAAAAATAAAATAACTGTATTTATAGTTTATAGATTCCCCCTCTCCCATTTACAAAACTATTAAGTTACATTTATCTTTTTTTTTCTTTTTTTTTTTTTTTAACATGAGAGCAAACTGTACATATATCAATCTCCCTTGCTTATCTTTAAGAAAGGGCCATTCATAGCATTTGGCACAAACCCTCTATTTCTGTTGCATTTTCATGATTTTAAATAAGAAGGAAAATAAACGTTTGAGTTATTTCACGCTTCCTAAGTTTCTGGGCCACAACATGCCTTACTTTTTTAGAAACCAATTCCAAGATGACATCTAACTGCATTTTCTGTTGATCCCAACTTTTAAACACTCATAAAGTCTAAACAATTTGGAGATGTATGAGAAAAAACTCCTGTTCTGTTCAGACTTTAAAAAAAGAAAAATGCTCATTTCACATGTCCATGATTTTCCATGGATTTTTTTAAGCTTATTTATTTGAGTGTGACTAATTTAAGGGACAAAAAAGAAGAGGAGGCAAGTGTTCCTATCTCTTTGGAGTGTTTTGCTCAGGAAATTTTTCTCATCAAAGCTCTGCTAACGTACACAGCGAAGGACACATCAAAGCCAAGCTGGGATGATCTGAGGATTCAGAGGGAACGGATCGGAAGGGAGGTGGCACTTGGCACCACTGTCTGGTGACACTGGCCTTGTATCCCTTGTTGTGGCAATTGTCACCACCATGATTGCTTAGGGACTTAGGAAACATGCAGAAGCATCTTCAATTCATCTTCTGCCTTAGGGCAGGGCTGGCAAACTGTTTCCTAAAGAGGCTAGAGAGAGAGGGTAGGTTGCTTGTGGCAGACTACCAAATCGTTGTCTTTTTCCTACTCCGAAGTCCTATGTCCCAGCCCGAGTATTTGCCGTTGTTATGTCTGCCAATCATGTTTCAAACTATTCCTAACCCAAGGAGCATGGGAAGTGCATAGTACAACATGTATTTCCAACACTGAATTTGTCCATCTCAGAACAGAGCCCCATTAGTACCCTGGAGGGCCCCCGCCGAGCTGTTGATCTGGGGTGTGGCAGTCAGAGTGGAGGAGAAGGGGACAGACTGGAGCACAGCTGGATCCACGATGCAAACCTTTGGCACCACAGGAAGTGTTAACATGCCCAGAGGACACACAGAGCCGGCCCCCTCACTGCCGCAGAGATCTTCTTGGGCACAGCACCTGCTATCTGTCCCATTCAATTCCTCTGCAGCCTCAAGGAGGAACAGCTGAGCTAGAAGCAGCCCCTCTGTCCTGCTCTGCATCTCAGGGCAGATGAGGCGGGAGCACAGGAAGCCCTGAGAGAGGGCGCCTCCAGGTAAGAGTCAAAGTGCTTTCCAAACAAATCTGGACATTTATAGAGAAACTGTCCTAGACCCAGGGCCTTGGGTGCAAGATGTGTCTAGCTACCAAAAAGCTAGTGCTTCAGCCCACAAGGGTAAATGCAAACCCCTAAACTAAACCTGTCCCCTCAAAGAGAACAGCGGTCCGTGATGGTGCATCATTTTGTGATTGTTTAGGGGAGTGTTTTTCTCTTCCAGCTCCCAGGCGTGTAGCAGGAGAATACTCTCTCCTAGTTTGCCTCCTGAGGCTGGTTTCACAGGAGCCAGCACTCTTGGTACATTCTCTCACTTACTTCCTTAAACCCAGCATCCAGGAGTGACGCAAACCATCTCTCCTTTCCGTCTAGTGGCCCAGGAGGAAGACCCGGCCTGCCGACTTAGAGCTGAGCTGTTCGCAGCTCTCATGCTGCAGCAGGCCTTTGAAAGGACCACTTGAGATGAAGGACGTGCTTGTAAACTGCGAGGCACAGGCACAGTGTCCAGGATTCTCATGATAGCTGAGCAGCTCTGTAGCAGGCCAATCACAGGGCCCCCTGCAGAGGCTCTCCAGAATGCTCAGGCCGTGCCCGCAGCCAAAGCTGGAGGAGGAGCTGGGGTCTCAGACAGGATGACCTTTCCCACGAGTCAGAGAGTCAAGCAAAACACATCATCGTGAGATAAACGTGGTGGCCTTGAAGGAGAGTCATGTCCATGGAGAGGGAGAGGGGGCTTCCCCTGGGGACAGGGAACGAGCCCCAGGTATGGCCACGGCATATCCATCTTGGCATCAGCTGCAGTCGCCTTAACATCCCAAAGGCCCTCTCCCTAGCCCTGCATGTCTCCTGAACAGGCACAGAGGCAAAAATCCCCTTTAAAACAGTCTCCAGGTCTGTGTTTTTCCTAGGCCAGTGGCAGTAAACATGCCCACACACCACAGGTAAAATATATTATTACAATATTATAAACACTATGTACAATGCAGGCAGGCAGACTTTCTGTGTTACTTACTAATTACACAGTGGCTGAATGTCTTCCTGTACAAGGCCTGGTAGCCACTTGCTGGGAACCCTGGAGATATTTAGCAAGACAGCCTTCCCCAGAGCAACCTGAAGGTGTTTGACCAGAAAGGGGGCATCCACCTCTTACCCCACCGATGACTACTGCACCCAGAAGTAGTTCATTTTGTCCAGCCACTTGGGAGATGTGGAGGGGTGAGAAAGAAAGGATGGAAATTTTTTAGGTTGTTGGAGATGAGTTTCTCTTGAAGGGAGAATGCTGGACGGTCTCATCTGGAGCTAGCGGTGACCTGCAGCGTCCTAGCGGGCCTGGACCCTGGCTCCAGGAAAAGGTGGGCAATAAGTAGGAATCCGACAGGCCGAAGGCATCTTCCTAGGGGCTCAGGCTTCAGCTCCGTGGTAGGTGCCGGTGGATGGACCAAGCACACCGACAGTGAGGCCTGTCCTTGCCCCACTCCCCAGCTCAGTCTTGTAACAGCAGTTGACAGATTGGGGAGATGGGTCTCCTGGTTCTGGGACCGGGTCCTCTGCCTCTCCCAGGGAGGAACGCACTGAGAGCTCCAGCCAAAGTGAGATGCCAAACCCAGGGCTAGATTTCCATGAGCGTGACCTTGAAGCCCTCCACCATGCTCTCCATGTTGAGGATGAAGGTGTCCTCATTCGAGTAGTGCTCAATGATGTTGTCATCCATGTTCACCAGGATGCTGCCATGGAGGGGGAGGGTGTGAAAAACAAAGATGCCATGAACAATGTGCTCAGGGCAAGGGGAGCTCCAGGCTCGGGGTTCTCGTAGCCATTGTTTTGTGGTGGAGGCTGGGAGAGTGGAGGACAGAGGATACAGGCAGGGAAAGACACTCATTCTGTTTGCTTTCCCCAAAAACTAGTTTGAGGAAAGCAAAGCCTCAACTTCTCAGAACTAACATTCAACCCAACCTGCTTGCTTTCTATATTAGTAAACTGAGGCCCAGGGAAGTTAGGAAGTCCAGAATCACAGAGTTAGTGATTACCAGGGCCAGGACCTAAATCATTAGGCCCCTACCTCTTTCCCTTAAACCATAGTGCCTCTTGAAAATGCACCTTTAAAGATGCGTTGCCTCTGCTCTTAGGAGGAAGAGGAAAATAAGCAAGAATTGCAGCTCCCCTTTTTTGAGCATGTAATATGATCTTGTATTTAGTTCTCACAGCGACTTTGAAGGTAGGCGTCATCATCGCCATTTTGCAAATGAGAAAACTGAGCTCAGCAAGGTTAAATTGTTTCCCCAAGTTCATTCAGTTAGTGCATGGCCAAGCTTGATTTTGAAAATAGCTTTACCTCATTCTGACACTTATACTTTACCACCTGTGACCTACTCCTTGGCTAACTATCCCTGCTAGAGTTCTAAGAAAGCCAACAGCTTCCAGAGACTTCCATAATTTCCTTAGAGCCAATTTCATGATTTGAAGTCAGGCAAATGCTAGTTTGAGAATGAAGTATTGACGACCTGACACAGTATCATTTCACAGTGTGTCAGCAGGCAAGCTGTTTAGCATTTCAGAGCCTCAGTTTATTCTTCTGCAAAAGTAAGAACAATCATCCAGCTTTAAAGGATTGTTCATAGGATAAAAACATTCAGCACAGGACCTGACATAGAGTTTGACGAAAGCACAATGTTATCATCAGCATGTACCTCTGCACTGAGGATTTCTGCTCAGCAATAAGACTGTGAGACACCACTCAAATCTCACTGTCAGAGGAATACACCCAGCCTATTTCATTGATCTTGGCAAGAAGAAGAATGTGCATTTTAGTCCAACAAGAGCTCAGGTGGAAAGGGTTTCCTGTCACATCCTCCAATCAACCAACAGGACTCATAACTCAGAAAGCCTGAGCATCCCAGATAATCCAACTTCCTTTATGAAATTGATCCAGAGAAGAGTTGAAAGACTCATCTTCTGCTTTTTGTAGGAAAATACTCCAGAAGCTGAGTCAACAGATACTCTCTCCTGGGACTTAGGCTAGCTCTGTGGCTCTTACTGTTAGACCTTCACACACAGGAAGCCCATGCAGGAAGTCAGACAGGAGAATGTGGGAGCTAAGCACTTGAGCCTTGAGGACAAGACCTGGGTTCAAATCAGTGCTCTACCTACTGAACATGAGACCTTGGGTGAGATGCTTAAGCCCCTCTGCCTTGGTTTCCTCATCAATAAATCAGAGATAAGAGATTCCACCTCATACAGTGCTGAGAATTAAATAGAGGAATACATGTAAAACACATAGGAAGGGACCTTGAACCGACCTAACACCCAGTAAATATGACCTATTGTTCTTAACAATGAGAACAGACAGGTCCAATGATTATTTGAGAAACTTTTCTTGAAAATTACCTTAGAAGAATCCCCTATGTTCCAAACCATTTTTTGTTCCTAGTATGCCAACCAGAAACCAACCCCAAGAGCCACACGTGATTCCCTATAAACTCCGCTCCCTGCAAAGAGGTGACTTTGCCATTCTCCTCAGTGTCTTCAACACCTCCAGACCTCTGTGGTCTGCCTGCTCATCCTGTCATTGGAATAGGGCATCTCAGTTGACATAGTGCCAATGCACTGCCTCCCTCCCTCTCTCCCTGAAGATCTTCCAAATACAATCTGCTCTGCAATTCTCTGGAAGAAGGACACAATTTTTAAGAAAAGTGGGCAACAGACCTAACAAAAGACAGGCATCATTTTATTTTTAAGGCATCATGTAGACTTATCTGATTTGGAAGTCAACGTAAGTTGAGTTCCTTTCTTACCCTTTTTTGCTTTTCTTGTAAAGCTTTGCTATCTTCTCCACGGGCAGCCCATATTTCTCAGATATCTGTAATACCAATAACAAGAAGGCAGATGAGCATGGAAGGACACCCAAGTTGAGGCAAGGGGAAAGTTCCAATTTCACTTCTTGGAAATTTTCCCAGGCATAGAGTGCTCTTCACTCATGAGCCAAACTCTCAAAACACTCATTTATGAGGCTCTCCCTTTGGATAGACTGTAAATCATTCAACAAAGGATTTAGCATTATGGGAATTCAATCTATGATAAAAGTAGCATTCCAAGTCAGTCAGAAAAAGATGAACTATAACCATGATGTTAGATGAAATAGTAGCCATCTAGAAAAAAATTTAACAAGTTACATTGGATTTCTTCTCCACTCCTTACACCAAAATAAATTTGATACAGATCAAAGATTTACATGTGAAAGATAAAACCATAAAAGTAGAGGAAGAAACCATGAGTTTTTTGGATAGCTGTCATCTTAAAAAAGATCTTTCTAAACAAGACATGAAACCTAAAGAAAAAGGACACAAGGTCAACAAAAACAACACAATTTTTAAAATGCAATATAGAAAAAAAAATTAAAAAGCCGAAGACAAAAAATACACTGGGTAACATTTTTGCAACACAAATGACAGACATGGAACTAACTTCCCTAAGTTAAAAAGAGCTCCTGCAAATCAATAAAAAGATTAGCAGTTCAATGGGCAAAGGAAGAAAAACACCTGAAGAAGCAATTCACAGAAGAAAAATAATTGGACAATGAGCATATGAAAAAATGTACCACAAGTCATAATTTAAAAATTTCAAATTAAAGTAGGATACTACTTTTATTTTTCAAGCTAACAACAAACTAAAACTTGATAATGCAATATCAGCCAGAGTATGAGAAACAGCAATTCTCATATTCCATATTATTACTCTCATATGCAATAATAACAAGCTCAACCCTTTGGAAAGAAATTTAGCAGAAGCTATTAAAATTTAAAATGCATGTATCCTTTGACCCACATATTCCACATCTAGTAATAGAGTCTACAGAAATACATTCAGATGTACACAAAGATTTTCAAAGCATCACTGTTTAGAATGGAGAAAACTGGATATAACAAACATCTATGAAACACATTTTAACATTTCACACTTAAAAACCATGCAGTCGTCAAAAGAAATGTGGGAAGCCGACATGAATTCACATTAACAAAAATATTCTTAACATACTGAGGAGAAAATACTAAGTTGCAAAATTGTGTATATAGTGTGATCCCACTTGTAGTTTCAAATATATATATATATATATATATATATTTATATATGTAAGTACATGGAAAATATTTGAAGGGTCCACCAACCTATTAACAGGGGCTACCGCTACTGAATGGACAGAAACAAGGAGATATTTTACTTTTTATTTTGAACAATTCTGTTCTATTTATTTTATTTTTACAATGATTGTGTTTCACTTTTATAAAGTAGTAGTATTTTACAGATGGATTCTGGAAAGCCCTGCTCTAAATGTCTTTCGTGCCCTCTCTACTTCCAAATCAAATCTGTCTGCCCCTTCAGAGCCCAGTGGCTGGTGGGGCTCACAGGCAGCTGAGAAAGGTGACGTTTGAAATGTGGATTATTGGAAAGTCTAGCAGAGGCTAGAAAGAGAGGCTGAAGATGTCTAGAGCAGAGCTGGAAGAGCTTTGGATCCTAAGAAGAGTTCACTCTGCAGAGAATCACAGATTCCCACCCTTCCGACCCTCTCACCCCGCAGGAAGAATTTCCCATCCCCTAACAAGGCTAGAAGGCAGGGGAACAGGTAAGCAGAGAGCTGTGAGAGCAACAGCAGACTGGGAATGAGCAGCGGGCCTGACAGACACCTCTAATTCATCACCAATGAGATTGCCTCACAGCAGCCACACCTGAGCCAAACGAGCCATGTATGAAAAACAACACAGCCAATGTCGGCCTGTAGATTGCAAAGAAAATTGGCAAAACTTGTATTGGAGGCATCCATTTGAACAGAACATAAAAGAGCGCTTAAGTAAAACAGAACACTTGAGAAGTACATGCATGCAGAATTCTGATATACAAACATGACTATTGATCTAAAAATTTTTTCAAGTTGAGCAAATGAATGAAAGCATAGGTGGTCAATTGAGCAAACTCAATAGTGTCAGGAAAAATCAAGTCAAAAACAATTTTAAAGTGCAAAGCAAAAGGATAGAACATAGATGGAAATCATGAAGGAAAAGAAGAAAAAATTGAAAACATCCTGGAACTTTCCAGACAAAAAGAACAAGTTACCCCAAAAAATGATAGCCTGGCTTCAATTTTCTCATCTCAACAATAAAAACCAAATGACAGTGAACAAGAACTCTTACAGATTACAGGAAAAAGTACTTTACTCCATGAATCCCACATACCAACAAGCTCTCTCTCACTCATCAGGGTGAAAGAACAGTGTATTTCACCCCAGTATCTCATTTCAAAAATACTAACCCAAATGTCCATCATTGATATACTGTATAAAGAAAATGTGGCACATATATACCATGAAGTACTATGCAGCCATAAAAAATGATGAGTTCATGTCCTTCATAGGGACATGGATGAATCTGGAAACCATCATTCTCAGCAAACTGACACAAGAACAGAAAACCAAATACCACATGTCATCACTCATAGGCAGGTGTTAAACAATTAGAACACATGGACACAGGGAGGGGAGCATCACACACTGCAGTCAGTTGTGGGGGCAGCTAGGGGAGGGACAAGAGGGATGGGGAGGGATAACATAGGGAGAAATACCAGATATAGGTGATGGGGGGATCAAGGCAGCAAACCACCTTGTCATGTATGTACCTATGCAATGATCCTGCATGATCTGCACATGTGCCCTAGAACCTAATGTACAATCAAAAAAAAAAAAAAGTACAGTCAGCCCCCAGGAGTCAGCCTTATCTTCAGGTTCTGCATTCTTGGATTCAATCAGCCATGGATTGAAAATATTCGAAAAAAATGAAAAATACAAATATAAAGGCAAAAAATATATAAATAAAAACAATAGAGTATAACAAGTATTTATATACCCTTTACAATGTATTACATATTATAAGTAACCCAGCAATGATTTAAAGTATGTGGGAGGATGTGTATGTGTTATGTGCAAATGTCTATGCCATTTTACATGAGGGACTTGAGCATCTGTGGATTTTGGTATGGGGAAGATGTCCTGGAACCAATCCTCCCAAGGACCTCAAGGGACCATTGGACTCAGAAAAGAACTCCATTCAAATAGCAAATGCATCCAAATGGAGACATCAAACTGTGGAAAGGAGGAAGGAAAAAAGCCACCAGTGTTGGGCTGTAAGCTTGAATATATAGCAGGGGTGTCCAATCTTTTGGCTTCCCTGGGCCACAGTGGAAGAATAATTGTCTTGGGCCACACATAAAATACACTAACACTAATGATAACTGATGGGGAAAAAAAAATTCATAATGTTTTGAGAACGTTTACCAATTTGTGATGGGCCTTATTCAAAGCTATCTTGGGCCACATGCAGCTTGCAGGCCATGGGTTGGACAAACTTGCTATATAGGGTTATATGGACTGCAAATGTGAAATGTACGTGCTAAATAAGGATTCTGGAAGAAAAAAGGACATAATACAAAGGAAAATCAAATTATTTTCTAGAAATAAAGCAGTAAACTATTTTTGCAAAATCTAGCATTTGGAAGTTGATGGGGAGAGGGTAGGCATTTCAACTGGCTCATTTTAGCAAGAGGAGGCAAGGCAAGGGAGAGAATACAGCTCTAAAAATCTCATCTCACAGGGGGAGTAGCAGAGCTGGAGGGTGTTGGTGGAGAAAATAGTTGGAAGTTTATTTTCAAACAGTAGAGAAGGATTACTTTAGGAATTTGGAAAATTTAGGAAAAGTAAATAACTTTCAAATTTAAAAGTTGAAATACAACAACTTAGAATCTGACTGCAAAACTACAGAGAAAGTAAAAAGAAGCCACAAAATGAAATAAATAATAAACAAAAAGATGGAAGAAATAAAATCAAGTGTATCCATCATTATACCAAATGAGAATCAACTTCATTCTTCCAGTAAAAGCCAGAGTGTCTGAGTGGGTGTAGAAGAAAATAAATAAATAAATAAAAAGACAAATAAGGAAAGAAATCCAGCTGTATGCTGTTTAAAAGAAAAGCACTGGGTCGGGCGCCGTGGTTCACGCCTGTAATCCCAGCACTTTGGGAGGCTGAGGTGGATGGATCACAAGGTCAAGAGATGGAGATCACCCTGATTAACAGAGTGAAACCCCGTCTCTACTAATCTTACAAAAAAATTAGCCAGGCATGGTGGTACACACCTGTAGTCCCAGCTACTCGGGAGGCTGAGGCAGGAGAATCACTTGAACCTGGGAGGTGGAGGTTGCAGTGAGCCAAGGTCGTGCCCTTGCACTCCAGCCTGGGCAACAGAGTGAGACTCCGTCTCAAACAAAAAAATAAAAATAAAAAGGAAATCGCTGAACATAACGTGGTGAGTGAAGGATGACTGATGGGTGACCAATGAGAAGCAAACAGAAGCAAAAGAGGGGTGACAAGGCATAATTAAAGTCGATGAGGTTAAGAATGGATAGGATATAATGCTAAAAAGCAGAACTGATGGAGAAGCTACAGCAATCATAAAGCTTTATGCATCCGATAATATAGAACCTGAGCAAAAATTGTTATAATTATTACAGATGTAATAATTTTTGCTTGAGTGCTATGATATTGCAAAATGAAAATGCAATTATTATGAGATATTCCACTTGAAAACCTTGAAAAAATGCAATTACAGTGAGAGATTTCAATAGACCCTTTTTAGAGCTGAACAAATCTAGTAGATGAATAAGTAAAAACAGTTGAATAATTATTATACTTTATATAACATAAATTATACATATGCACATAGACACATTTATATATAGAGAGAGATATACACACAAATATTATAAATATTATATATCCTAAAGAGAGTCATGTATTGGGTAACAAAGATAAACTAC